CTGGCTGCCATATTTTGCACCAGTTGTAGTTTCCGGGTTAGGCACAAGAAAGCTTGTTTGCAACTCCTTAAAGGAGAAAATACAGAGGCAGCTCAAAACAACCACAAACTCACTTTTCCTTTATGCTGAACCATCCTTGCTGTCCACAGTTTGAAAAACATTGAAAAGGAGAGAGGATGGCAAGCAGTTGTTGTTGTTTTCAACTGCCCTTGAGTCGTCCTTGACTCATGGCAATCCTATGGAAGAGACATCTCCAAGCCCCACTATCCACCAATGTGCTGCTTAGGTCCTGTAAATTCATACCCGTGATCTCCCCAATCCATGTGGCATGCAGTCTTCCTCTCTTCCCTCCACCCTTCCTAGCATCATTGGCTTTTCTAATGAATCATGCCTTCTCATGATATGGCCAAAGGCCGTCAGCCTTAATTTGATCAGCTTGGCTTCCAGGAATATTTCAAGCTTGATTTGTTTAAGGACTCATTTGTTTGCCATTTTGGCTCTCTGTGGTATTCTCAGCACTCTTCTCCAGCACCACATCTCAAATGAATTGATTTTCTTCTTATCTGTTTTCTTCACTTTCCAGCTCTCGCATCCATACATAGTGATGGGGAATACAATAGAATGATTCTAACTTTAGTGCTCAGTTGTATATCTTTATGCTTTAGGATCTTTTCTAGTTCTTTCATAGAAGTCATTCCCATTTCCAGTCTTCTTCTGATTTCTTGACTTCAATCTTCTTTCTGATCAATGCAAGGTACAGATTTTTTTTTTCTATTTTGAATTCCTCATCTAGGTTGAATGAATGTTGGTCCTCCATGGTCATTATATTGGTTTTGTTTATGTTCAGCATTAAGCTTGCATTTGCAGACCTGCTGTCAAGTCTATTGGAGTTGCTCTAAAGCAATTTGCAGCAGTAGGAAGAACAGCATAAAGTTTTAAAACTTAATGCTTCATCCACCCTCACCTCAAATGTTCTAAATCTGAGTTGCTGATGGGAAAGAAAGCAC